TGCTATAGTGTTATTCCCAATTGATAACTAAAGAAATAAGCAATATCTGATTGATATTATTCCCAATAAGTCTTTATGAATATAAAACTAAAGTAAATTTCTCTTTATAATTGTAATAAAGGGTGTATTTAAGTGACCAGGTACTATTAGAATAAGTTTATGATGATAAACAAAATAATAATGGCGTAAATGATAAAGAAAAAAGGGTAACAACAGTCCCAAAACCCTCTCAAAGTATATATAACAATGTACTAGAACTTTTACAATGGTCAACAACCTCAAAACCAATCAAATCCGCCCAAAATTCCCTAAAAACCCTATGATGACGCAATGTAATGATTTTGTTACTAATAAATGATGTAATTTTCACAGCTAAAAGTGATCAATGACGCAATAATATGATGTGCAGCACTTCTTATGATGAATACAGGTGATTTGTACCTTGTAAACTAGCTGCAAACCAATTTTTGAGATTACGAATGTTTTTCAGATGGGGTCCAATTTTAAACTACTATAGTGCATCTTGTAGCCCTCGTGATACTGATCATTTCTGACACCTACATGACCTACTTCTGATGAGTGATGAGTAAGATATTGGGTTGTGAAGTTGAGGTTTTGAGCATTACATGTTGACTTGTGACTGTAAATTCAAGATTCACACCGATTCTTTATTTGCCTTATAACTTTTTTCATACACCTCCGCTACTATTGATTTAAAGTTTGTACATTATGTAATCCACTCTTCTGCGTTGAATGAGCCATCTACCAACCTATTCTGACGTCATTTGACATATGTAATTAGCTGAAAACCGCCATTTTCCACGAAATTCACCCATTTTCTCCACTTTTCACAGCTGCTACTCTCTTTTTCTTGCTCATGTAATATGACGTCATCCTCTATAACCTTAAAAATCCCGGAAAATCCTCTTGGCAAACTTAAATTCCATCACTACCACTATTACATAACCAAACTACACGTGTACCTCTTGTTTACCAACTTCGGAAAAGTGCCTTTTCCCTAATAACTTCTGTTTCTCCTTATCAACCTTCAGGATTAAAATTGTCATAGTATAATATAATGCTGTTCTTTCATATTCTAACCTCATAATACCCATAACTTTATTTTTATTAACCTAAAAACCATTTTCCAACCTATGTACCTATAATTTTGAATTTTTCTTATGTTTTTCTTTCTTTCTTTTTGTA